CGAGTTTCCTATAACCAAATACAGCTCTGCCACACTGCACAAACCCTGACGAGCCCTGTAAACTCACTAATGGGGGACTGCACTGTACATAATTTTTCATCAAACCGACATATTCAACAATACAGCTGTGGTATGTCAATTTACTCCCACTGAACAAAATGTTCTTCAGGCCATCGCCAGGTTCAATTATCAACATTTTGGAAGTTCTATTTATGTTACATATGATGGTTCTGCTGTTTTTTTAATAATTTATATATTTACGAAATTCTTCTCGGGAGTTGGATGAATTTATACTCAAATAGCAGAGCTACAGTTGTACATAACAACATATGAACATAAAATTGGAGGAGAAACTGCAGCGGGCCTATTGGCCCCATACTGGGCAGTCCCATTTACACCCCAACCTATCGCTCATATATCCATCCAACCTATGTTTGAAGCTATTCAGCGTATTAGAGTTAATGATGCTGTTGGTAACTTGTTCCACTCGTCCACTCGCTATTTCCAAACCAATGTTTACCTATCTCGCGCCTAAATCTAAATTTGACTAATTTAAAACCATTGCTAAGAGTTCGCTCATGGTTGGATAGTTTGAGTACCTTTGTTACATCAACTTTGTTTAGCCCTGACTTCCATTTATACCTCTACGTCTCTCGAGAGTGCAAATTAAGATGCTGTAACCTGTCTCTGTACTCAAGGTTCCTAATGCCCGGGATTAGTCTTGCCATTCTCCTCTGAATTCTTTCTAGGGATTCTATATCCATTTTGCAGCACCCGGTGCAGAATTGAACTGTGTAATCCAAGTGGTCTCTCACAAGTGCAAGATATATAGGATGACCTCGCTAGTCTTGTTAGCCTTGTTTCGAGCAAATACACATTGTTTACTCGGTTTAAGATTCCTACTTATCATTACTTCTAAATCTTTCTCAGTCAGTTCTCTATAACATCGTTGTTCATCTGGTATCTGGTTTCTCTGTTTACATCTCTAGACTAAGTACTTTTCATTAGTCCACATTAAATCAATTTCATCTGCCATTTTTCAGACCATTCGAAATTTTTTTAGGTTCTTCCTGTAATACTTTTGCGGAGTTCTCATCAGATATAATTAATGTACTTGCCCTATTTTAGTGTTACCAGCAATTTACTTATGTTGCTGTCTATGCCGATATCTATGTCGTTTCCGTATATAATAAATAATAATGGTCCAAGTACTGAGCCTTGGGGTACTCAGATAAAGACGATACTCCAAGCAGATTTACTACCGTTAATGCCCATCGCTGTTTCCTGTCCTGTAACCACGCCATAATCCATTTTCGAATATCACCTCAATGCCACTTTTCTTATTAGTCTTTCGTGGGGAATCTGTCGAAGGTTTCTCTAAAGACAAGATATACCACATCAGAGTCGTGCCCGTTGTCCACTGATTTGAAAACAGCTGAAAATAATGTTAATAGATTAGTTGACATGAACGCCGCTTGTGAAGCCATGTAAGGAATCATTGATCAACTTGTGCTTCTCCAGGTGATTTCGAATAGAGTTTGAAATTATTGCTTCTAGTAATGTTCCTATAATTGATGTTAAACTGATTGGACGGTAGTTAAGGATAGTGATCTATCACCCTTCTAGAAAATCAGTGTTACATTCGCTATCCTCCACGATTCTGGTACCACACCGCTTTTAAGGACATGTTAAACAAATTTGCTAGGGCATACTAAGCTCTTCCTTACATTCCTTTAATACTCTGGCAAATATCTCCATCGGGACCTGGGGACTTATGAGGCTCTAGCCTCATAAGTCAACATCTCGCTTAATCTATTTCTTCACTACCTCTGTATGTAGTCGGTGCCTCGGGTATCATGTTTAAAGTTTCGACGGTGAAAACTGTTGAAAAATATCTGTTCAGATTATTGCTCATTTCTCCGTTGTTATCGGTTAGCTCGCGGTATCTAACTGCATTGGTCCAATCTATTCTCGTGTTTTAGTTTGATACATTTGAAAGAATCTCTTGGGGTTAACTCGCCTCCTTACTACCTTCAGTTCATTATTCCTCTTTGCTTTTCTTTTCTCAGTCTTAACCCTACTGGTAAACTTCATCACGATTTATTCTCCTACCTAGAGCCTTCCTTTGTCCAATAATATTCTTTTAAACAGTTATTTATCCATTTGGGGTCATTGTTGTTTGAGCTGAGTTTTCTGTATGGTATGTTCTACCTTTGTGCATTAAGTAACTCATTATTTAAATTGTTGTGGAACTCCATGAACCTCATATTCTCGTGATCAAGTCATCCTCAACCGTGATATTTTGTGAGGTTATCGTTGTCAGGTTTCCAGGTAAAGTGAGGTCGCCCTCTGTGGGTACATTGTGTATGGTCACCTCACGTGAGATCATGTAATTTACCCCAAACGTGATACCTTCTCAGATGCCTTTTCAACCTATCAAAATTTGCCCTTCTGAAATCTGGAACTTTAATGGAATTTTCCTTGCGACTGCCATTAAATTCTACTTTGAAACGTACTTCTTTGTGATCGCTGTGTGCAAGTTCGGTTCCCTACCTCAGCATTACTAATGAGGTTTTCTCTGTTTGACAGAACTAAATCGAGAATATTATTACCGGGTGGGTTTGGTTATATGTTGATGTAGGAAACAGTCCTGAACTGTTTCAAGAAAATCCTCTGATTTGGCAAATGTTAAAGTCGCCTACTATACAACGTTGCTCTGTCTCGATGCCCTACTCATTTCATCCCAAATAAGTCGCTCATTAACTCTATCGAGATTAGAAGTCTATATATTACTCCTGTGATTATACTTTCCTAATTAATTTTATCAAATTGTTTCTGTATTCAGTTCAGTTTTTATTTCCTTATTTATTTCACACTTCAGATTATCCCGACATAGATTGCTACTCCCTCCTTTTCTAATCTGCCTATCGGTATGGAATAATTTTTAACCTGCAATTTGGTATTCCAGGTAACTGACGTGAGTCTAAGTTTATCCACATTTCGGTGAATGCTATTATATCGATTTTTCGGTACATACCAGCGACCTGATTTCATCTTTTGTTTCTCATACTTCTACTGTTTTGCGTAGTAGACATTTAAGTTAGTCGTGATCTGAGTCCTCTTTGTCACGTTTAGCTTTTACTCCTGCCTAATTTAATTTTGTCATCATTCCTAGCACTATTTCTCTGTAACCTTTCACTTTGTTTACGCTCTGCATTCTCCTCCACCTCCGTGCTCGCATCCCATGCAGTTTCAAGATTTCGACATCTTTGAACTGCCTCTCGAAATAGCCAGCTAGGGTTGCCACCCATCCTACGCAAAGGTCCTTCTGCCGTAAAAGCTGTACCAGTTGTCAGCGAATGGGACTGATATTGATTTACAATATCTGTCGGCAAGACGGCCGTTGACACCAACTGCCCTTGACAACCATTATTTGCCAACTCTCCTTCTAGGCAGGATACCATATATGATGGGAATCCTCCCTTCAACCAAATATGTTCTATAGCTGTCTTGAATTTATCAGGAAGCTCCTCACTCTACACCGGCCAATATCAGTGCCTCCTGCACTGAGGCAGATAATGGGTTTGTTCCCATTACCAGACAAAATATTGTCCATCCTGTCAACTATATCCCCACCCAAGCTCCAGGCTAACACACCTTTTTTTTATTTCTCCACAGCTCTATCCAGGTACTGTACCTGGGAATCGCCAACAATTAAGGCTTTCGTACCTTCCTCAGCCCTGTCCCTGACTATGCTTATGTCAAATTCGTCTATCAAAGGACAAAAGTGTTTTTTTACACTAAGCTGTTGTCGTATCCTTGGTGTCTTTTTCACCACCAGTTTGGTCGTTACTCTCCTCACAACCTTCCATTCATCTGTGTTTTCGTGAAACAGGCTTTCCTTGTCTCTTGTCTTCTTCCTTCATTCTTGTTATCACTTCCTTTAATTTCAGTTTCCTTGACCCACTAACTCGGCCAGTAGTTCCTGGTCGGTTCTTGTCAAATGTCTCCATTAATTATAGAGTATCAGGATCTATCGTGGATGTTTCACCAGTTGCTGCTGATAGATTACTGAGACATAAGTTGATAAATATGTTTTATATACACTAACACAAGATAAAGAAATAATCGCCGTACAAATGATAATGTAAATAAAAGGTCCGGCGCTCTCGTCAGGCTCGACTGCTGTCACACAAACTGAAACAGACAACTGTCCACTGGCCACCACGCAACCTGAATGTATCTGATTGAGTTGTTAAACAACAGGAACGCTTTGGTAACAAAAAAGAACGGTTTCTGGCTGCTCCGCCACTCAAACTTTGTAAATAAATAACATTTTCTTGTCATACCCTGCCTCCTCACTTTTATCTAACAAGCAGCCTGCAAAAGTAGACGTTTATTGACATAGAGATAGAATGGAGTACTACGTATAACATTCAAACTATAGAATTCTAGATATTAACTAGCTGTCCACCCTCCTGGTCTTGTAAGCACTTCCTTCCTTAGAAAACACATCTTGTAAGGTGCCATTTTGATGGTGTCATGGTAGGTGTTATTAATTGCACACTACACAAATCTAAGACCATGACTCCATTTATTATCACAGCATCATTCAGTCTTCAGTTTTGGCCGCTCGGTGCACTTCTCACTACCGAGGTTGGTGGTAGGTATTACCGCTGTAGTTAGGGTACTCGCTCATTCCCTGGGTTGGGACGCGCACTGCTCCCGAGTCTCCAGCGTCTGCGACTCGTGTTGTGGTCAAACCACCACACTAAAATGTGTAAATTTATTTTTAAAACATGTGATCGAATCTTCTTTTAAGCAAAGGCGTGACACAGTTCTATACTGACCACCGCTGGAGATTAAATTTAGCTGGTGGTGGACGATAAGATGTCACTTGGGTCGCATCTGCTTTGATTATATATTACAATATTTGTGTCTTGTATCTCGTGCAAAGGACTTTTATTGCGCCTTTCAACTAAACAAAAATAAGCGCCTTTATATTCGTTACATCATATTTCTTTTATGTAATACGAATTCACGTATAAACATATTATTGATATGCATGTAAAATATATGGAAATCTCTGTTGTCATAATGATCAAGGACATAATTTTCATATGTATTGAATATGACATTTTTTCCTGAGAACTTCAACAGTATGCCATCTTCACCCCGGAGAGAGAGAATTTTGTTCTTTTTTTTTACTATTACATCCAGAACGGAGTTGTTATAGGAAATGTGTATAACATCCTCAGGTAAGGACATTATAACCAAGAATACCCACAGGTGTGTGTGTAGTTCAGGATCCCAACACTGCTGGTACTGCATTATTTCATTTAGTTTCGATACTGACTCTTTGGAAGGAGACGCGATCTTTTGACGTGACTGTACTTAGTGACCTTCTCGAACACCACTTGGCAAGGTTTCTAATGCGTTGCTTATGGCGTGTGACGCCCTTCTTTAAGGTACAAGAAGTGGTTGTCTTAAAATGTATGTCGCTCTCATTTAACATACTGGTGTCTGACAACACATGATAATTATCACGGATAGACAACACCGTCATATCTGCAGTATATCATTGCCTCTTAATAACATTTAATGGCATATTTTCTATAATAGCAAAAACAACAATGAAGCACCAGTAGTTATTTCCGTATTTGTGAACGTTTTCAGGTCAACATATTCACAGTGGATATTCTCATGGGCTGTTATTTCACATGTATTATTCATACGAGAATGCTGCACACCACCAACACCACTTCCGTTCGGCATTGTACAAAAGGAATCTGTGAACAGAGTAAACACTCACAGAAGCAAGTAGTGGTACGTTCATTGTACACTGCCTAGCAATGCCTGGAGGCGGAATGGGATAGGAGTTCGGTGTACTTTGCATGATAAGTAAAAAATAAACCTACATTTCCCAAAGTACCTTTTTTAGATTAGCCCACGGGCAAGGTCAATGACCTACATCAGGGCCTGGGCGAAAATATATAATAACAATAATAATAATAATAATAATAATAATAATAATAATAATAATAATAATAATAATAATAATAATAATAATAATAATAATAATAATAATAATAATACAAAAAATAGTGAGAAACAATATATATATATGTTGTTGTCAAATAAGACAAACAATTGAGATCCTGCAATTGTGTGTAAATGAGGAAGAAAGTCAGGTCAGCAACTTGGGACTTGGTGACAATTTTCGTGAAGCCATATGGCAGCAGGGTCTACCATTAGACAACACATTATGCTTCCAATATCTTCCCATGCAAGTACCTCCCTGTTTGATAGCTGCCTACTACCTACTACCTGGTAGTACTTGATCAATATTGTATCCAAATTTCAAGCTGTCTCAAAAGTGCTTGGGATATCGAACAAGCGGAAAAAACAAACAAGCGAAACAATGAGCCCCCCCCCTCCTTAAGGCACGCACTCCGCCGAAGGTACATTTTTCTTGAAGAAGTATTTTTTGGTTACCTAATATTCTTACTAGTACCACTACCTAACATTACATTATCTGACACCATTACCAAACACAACACAACACACGGTCACATATACCAGTCATCTCCGGTATTCTTTCTGAATAATCCAGTGATGAAGGTCTCAACCCTCTTTCCAGGTCTCGGTCTCGGGTGTTAGTATTTAGTCTCGGCTCGGTTTCCGGACTCAGATATCCTTGGTCTTAGTTTTTGCTCGAGACTATAATTATATTCATTCATTAATTTTCAGGTCTGCTGATTAAGTCTGGGTTCAAGTAGTAAGTTGCCTACCTACCTCCTTATTCTGGGAGAAGTTGACCATAAGTACGAGTTTCTGAGCCACGGTCACTTTTCTTAGGCAAGGTTCAGGTCAATCGGTATAATCCACATATGGTGTATATTGTGTGTGATCTGTGGTGTAATGGTCAGCATGCCTCGCAAGAGTGGTCCTGGGTTCATTTCTCGGCAGGGTGAAACTATAGGTAAGTTCTTTACGTCATTGCCTCTGTTTACCCATCAGTAAATGGGAACCTGGATGTTAATCGATTTGCGGATCGTGTTCGGGGTAATGTTTAGCCAGTGCAGTTGGCGAGTTGTCCGGTCTTCTCTGACTATTCCTTGAGACTAGATGTGTTTGTTTTGTTGGCGACATTGTAGCGAAATAATACCTACCTCGCCTACGGTGAACAGACCAAATACTACATTAGTCTATTGACCATCTTTACTTTACTCTATAGTGGAACTGTATAATACGAGTATTTTACTACTGTCACTTACAATGAAAATTTGAACGGCGGGCACTGCTTAAGTCTGTATTCATTCCTATGTCCGATTATCACGAGGTTGTGGTTATAAATCCATCTGCAACAGGAAATACATAAAGCCACTCTCCCGTAAAACAGTAAGTGGTAATAATACAAAATGTTTAAGTAAAGATTAAGGAAAGATTCGCCACTCTATTATCCTCGCTATATTTAGATAGGATCATTATAGGTAAGTTTTCAATTAAAGGTTAAGGAGAGTCATTAAATGGCGATGTACTGGTGTTCACCACAGTAATACACTACAGTATCTTGTTTCAATTTGCTCTTGTAATCTTATTAGTAATTACATAATATGTTGAACCTCCCAATACACACCTCCCCATTAACAAATAATCTAATCAATCCCACTAAGTAGGTAGGGCTTTGAAGGAGAGGAAAAATGTAGGTGTTAAATAAATGCAAATATATACTTCTTCAACTCGTAGTTCGTGAATTACGGTACGAACCAACTTTCACCATTTTCAAATGTTAGTTCTGTTAAAGATGGGCCACGGTGTTGTGACTATACTTGAGAGAAATAGCTGGCACAAGATATGTCTAGTTCAGGCATAAAGGTCAATAGCAGTCTTTTTATCATAAACTCCCAGATATACATGTGATTTTATCAGAAACTATTCCAGGTTTGTCACGTTGCTTGTCGCTTTTGAAAACGTAAAATAATAGTCTCCTATTAAAATTAGATCTCGTTTTCATTACGTCATAACTATAAATTCCATGACTTATGTTATAGAGCAGTATCGGAAGTTGTTACATTGTGATCTTCCTCTCGTCGTTCGTCAGTTTCTAACACACTAAATGACTTTCTTTAGATATACAAAGTGGTCGTCTTTTGTTAAACGTATTTGACCTTCGTTAGTGTGAAAAAGCTGGACTCGCAAACCCGTACAAACCATCTTTTGAAAAAGAAAAACAAACCAATCGAGTGATCTCTTATTTTAGAGTTCAATACTGAAATTTTACGCTGGGTTTGGTCGGTGCGTTTTGCCTGTTTTGCTACCATCATAACAAAAGACTTCGATATTGATGTTATCATTACAGCTGGTTTGTTATCTAATAGCATCACTTACCTGCACTTCTCACGTGATATAAATAAAATATCGAGAGTTGCCTCCTATTTCTTGAAAGATAATTTTAATTGGCAATATTTTTTCAACATGCAAATTACGGATCAAAAATATATAACAGAACGTGTGTGTGTGTAATAATAATAATAATAATAATAATATAATAATAATAATAATAATAATAATAATAATAATAATAATAATAAATAATAATAATAATAATAATAATAAATAATAATAATAATAATAATTATTTACGGTTTATTGAAAGAGCATGGCAGTCGGAAGGTTAAATATTCAGTTACATAATTGGGAATAGGTCTCTTGATTTAAAATAATATACAAATAACATAAGTGATAAAATGATATATAATAACTAGGTGAGAAAACAAACTGCTGGGCATTTCAACGCAGTGACAGTGCAAAAAGTAAGATTGACTGAGGTGAATATGGTTGATTCAAGTTATTGATAATTTTAACCATTGTAGAAACTGGGCTGTTCTTATAGCGATCGTTCGTGCTCGTATGGGCTGGATGCGGTTGTGGTGTCGAACAGCAATTCTCGGACGAAGGATCTTGGATGGTACGACTGTAGGAGCCGGTGTCGAGGATGGGACAGAAGCTTCTCCACCGTAAAGTTGGAAAGTGATGGTCAGAGAGAGGAGAGGGTCAGTGTATTGAGCGGTTCTTGATATGGAGTAGGAAGGGGAGAATAATCGCATGCCCTCTTTGCACTTTTTCTGGTGTTTACGTTGTGTGGCATTTAGAGAGGAAGACCAGGTAAGGAGGCATAGGTGAGCTTGGGAAGTATGAATGTTGAGTAAACACTGAGGAGCTCGGGCGCAGGAACCCCGAGGACTTGAGTCAGGAGGTGGAGAAGAAACTGGAAGTTTGACAACTTCACTGACGTGTGGTTTCAATTAGTTTGTTGTCTATGGTGACAGGAGAGCAGTGGAATCTACAACCTGGAGTGTGTTGGGACCTAAAGTAATGGAAGGGGTGGGACAACGTCGGAGAGGTTGATGTATAACCATGGTCTTGGTATGGTTGATGGTGACGTGGTTGTTGGTGGCCAGTTTTGGGGACTGTTCAATAAATCCTGAAGGGTGGTAGTCAGGGCAGAATTGTTGACACGATCCCAATGGTGGAGTCGTCGACATATTTCCAGCGAGCAGGGGCATCATTGATCAGCATAAGGAAGCATAGTGGTCCCATCTTGGTGCCTTTGGGGACGCCACAGGTGAGTGACTGAAGATGGAGACACCCCTCGGAAGCGTACAGCTTGGCGTCGGTTACTGAGGAAGTCTGTAACCATGGTATAAGACTTCTCCGAAAAACGATCAGGCCGGCGATTAAATTGGTCGACATTTCATCCTTGGTGAAGTCAATGAAGGTGAAAGCTACAGGCGTTTTCGTTTTCAGATGGCGGTATGTGTGTGTGTGTGTGTGTGTGTGTGTGTGTGTGTGTGTGTGTGTGTGTGTGTGTGTGTGTGTGTGTGTGTGTGTATGTGTGTGTTTGTAACATTGTTTGTGCTTCCTTTCTTTATATATAGTGTGTGTATGAGTATATTATAAATTAATTAAAGGAAATATAAAATATATCTGAGTTGTAAATTTATTCAATATAAAATAATATACTGTATGAAGGCTTCACTTCATATCAAGCTTCTTACACCCATAACTGCTGTTGTCACCAGCGAGTCTGACCACCACCACCACCCACCAAACCTAAACTCACAATAACTAAAATTTTCTTGGTGTGTTTGGTGTCAATCAGATTTTTTCTTCGAAATCTCTTCAAGGCATTTCTCTGGTGATCAGATACTTAATTGCTGCCAGGTGCAGTGTCTTAACCTCTTGAGAACGATGTCTTAATCCTTGAGTCATGTGTTCCTTTGAGTACGATGTCTTAACCCCTTGAGAACGATGTCTTAACCCCTGGTGATGTGTTAACCTCTTGGTATGATGTTTTAATAGCATGTGATTTACTTCTGGACAGTAACACTTCTGAGTGCAAACACATCACACCCACCTTCCACCTCAAATATGAAAAATAACTCGATTCAATAGTCAAGAAATTAAGTACTGACTGAGAATTGACTGTTTGAGAGGTTAATTGAGTAACTTATTGACTGATTGAAGAGCTGCAGGGTTGATTGATTGAGTGAACAGATGAATAAATGAATTAAAATATAAACAAATTGCTTGAAGACAAATCGGTTTAATGACACTGAAGAACTGACTGAAGATAAGACAAGAATTTAATGAAATAACCAATTGTTTCGAAGAATGATTGATTAGGAAATAAGACTGACTGAGATACATTGGTCGAGATACATTTCTCACACTCGAGAATCCTTAAGCAGATGAATTTAATCAGTGGGAGTGTTGTATGCCGTCAGGTGTGGTTGATTACTTTACGGGCACGACGTCATGTGCCACCCACTCCTATTGTTACTTTTTATTTCTTTGTTCTACAGCCTCAAAATATACCTGACCTCTCCTCATCCCAGTCATCTTGTTTGACCAACTTCAACATCTAAATTAAAATGTTTTCATTAAGTTGCTTTAAGAACAAAATGCACAAACATATAACCTCTTTTATTTTTGGTGTTATATTGTCTGTCTAATATTGGGTCATATACTTTATGCTGGTTTACTACAGTGCCTTTGAATGATACTGATTTCTCCCCCGCCTCGTGTGCTGACTTTCATTATAAATTAAATTATTCATAGATACTTCCACACGGAAAAACTAACGGCATCATCAATAAGTAAATAAATTCCTTTTGTTGACATGTTTACTCCTCACTGCAAAGTTCACCATCAAAATACGAGGACAAAAATTTGCTATTAGGAGTTAAAACAATAAGCAGGGTTTTAAGCTTCGGTATAATAATGTTGCATGCTTTGGAGTGGTTATACCTAGTTTGAGTAAAGTGATATTTTTATTTGTTTCTGAGTGATTGAAAGTATGGAGTCTGATAAAAAATGGGTGGGGGGTGATCAAATTAGTGGGAATGTCATATACCCAACAAATGATGATTACCAAAACAAAGAAAATTCATCGAAGCATTGTGGAAGTGTATTACGCAAAAGTCCCCTCATGTGTCACTGTAATATGATGGCGGAGTTCAGTCATGGGCGTGAGAGCCTTGAGGATAACCTTCGGTGAGGACGGCCGTCAGATATTATCGAAGCAACTGTAGTGCGCGTGTCAAAGTGGATGAAACAAGTGCTGGGGGTACACACATGGAAGTGGTGTGATCGTCATAAATAAAATGAGATGTCTCTTGTCTCAGTTTTCTGTAAGATGAGCTCTAAAACCTTAGAGCTCAGAATCAACATCAGAGGAAGTTCTTAGGTCTAAGAATACGTAGCTTTGACCCAATATTTCTTTTCCGTCTGATAAAGGAAAATTCGCCTGGATTTGC